CTTCAGGCCGCCAAGGTTGAGGAACCCTGTTATAAACTACTTTCTGGAATGTTAACTGTTCCCTTTAATATCCTAGACAGGCCCTATAAAATAAGGGCTTCTCTAGGCACTCCATTTCTGTGGTCATTTAAGTTTCTCTCTCTCTCACACACACACACACACGCACACAGTCATCACATGAGAGGATGAAAAAGATTCATAAATGGGTTAGGAGTATGGCTTGTCTGCAGCAACACTTGTCCCAGTTGCACCCTTACAGATTTTTTTTTTTTTAAAATAATGATTCTCTCCAGGGGAAAAATTGAAATGGAAATGGAAAGGAAAATGACAACCTCCTAGCCTCCTTTCTGCTGGCTGGGAGAACTAAAATGTGATCCTCAGATAACAAAGGTATCCAAGATTTTGTGGGCTCATCTTTTTAACTCTGGCTTGGAGAATAGTGTTACATATGCAAGACTTTTTTTAAAAAAAGCTTGTGCTTGGTTAATATTTATCTCTGAGATACATCCAAGTATTGTTAAATCAAATATTGTTGTTTATTTACAGCAGTGCTTCTGTCCTGCCTAGCAACACAGCAGCAGTATTTGAAAGGTGTTGGTTTTTTTGGTAAGGTTATTGATTTTTAAAAGGTAGACTGCTGAGGTTGAAGTGAGAGCGTAAATATCTCATTACTCTTGGAGGAGGGAAGCTGTGGCCCAGTGGCTGATCTCAGATTTAATCCCTGGGGCCTTCAATTTAAAAGAAAAAAAAGGATCATTCATAGATAGATAGATAGATAGATAGATAGATAGATAGATAGATAGATAGCTGTCTATCCAGATAACCTGCAAGTGTGTGTGTGTAATCTTGCAGCTTCTCTGGACAGACATAATAGTGAGCCAGATAGATATACAGTCTGATATAGGTTCCTATGCAAAAAGCCCAATTAAAACTAATTAAGATGATATATTCCTGATGAATTGGTGATTATATTATAATCTTTATCTCCTCAGTTTCTCTTTGGTAATCCCCCGAGCAGGTAGGTATTAAACAACTTTATGTCTGAAAAAAAGCTTTTGGGACCTGTGTAAGAATCAGAGGCATGTTGTAAATAATAATGTCTGAGGTTAACACTTCATTTTTAAGCATACTAGGGTATGTATGTGTGCATTTGAGAAATCTAATAAAATCACTTGAATGTGAAGAATGCTAAGGGAAATGTAATTTGGCATATGGGTGCCCATGAGGGCTGCACTGACAACATAGACATGGTTAATTCGTTTCGTCTTTAGTAATTCAAACATCTTAGAAGGTTTTCCCAGCAAACTAATACTAAGAACTGGGGATATGGTGTTTGCATATATAACTTTAGCTTCTACATAAAACTTTTTAAAGGGAATCTTTCATAAATTTTGCTTAATGTTTTTTCTTGTACTTATACATCTTTGCTAAAAAGTCTTTGGGAACAGCATTTTCCATTATGTGCAGTCTATTTTCAAATAAAGTTTTAAAAGTTAAAAAAAAAACTTGCGCAATGTGAATTGCTTACTTTATGAAGTAAACCAATTTCTTTCTGGTTAGTAAGTCAATAAGGAAATCTTAAAAAAAGAATTGCTGATTTACCAAACTGGCTTAATGTGAAATTTGTGCTGATGATAGAAAACTGACCTGCATATTTTGCAGCATTTCTAAAACATTTTAATGAGGAAATTAAAAATGTAAATGAAATTGGTGGTTGTTACTATAAAGTTACTAGGATGCCCTAGTAAGATGGGTGCACCATTGGACCTGAAGGACCAGGTTGGGAGAGATCCTCCTGGAGAAAATCTATCTATGTGGTTACTAAGAATCCGCACGATTGATGGCATATAATCATCATTGTGCACTAATAAAACCTACAAGTATAAATACTTAAGGAAGTGGTTAGAATCATGGTAAAGAGTGTTAACTATCACACTTTGAAATATTCAGAACTGTAAACCATCTAAATAGCTTTTGATTCTTATGGCACAAATGCCAAGGTATACTGTTCATGCAAATGCATGCTTGGAATACCATTGACAGTCTAGCATCAGCATAAATGCTTTTAAGAGTAATCTTAATTTTAGATATCTTAATGTCAAATTCATCGCTCTTTTGGGACAAGATAGTATCACATGATTGGTTCCAAACATCATAGTAAACAACAGTAGTAGTTGGAAATTATAAGTTCTGTACCCCAATATGTAGGAGGAACAGTTTAAAAAACGTTGATGTGGACACTACTTAATATTGAAAGTGATTTAGGGCAAGCTTCTTGACTACTTATTTTTCCCAGGTTTCCCCTGTGGGGGAAAAAAAAAAACAGAAAAGCCCCTCTCCCTAACTGCTTTTGTCATAGTAGTTTTAGGAGGTCAGGTAGCTTAAGAGAAAGTATGTTGAGGGTTGCAGTTTTATGCTGTGATCCAGGAAGTGAATTTCATTTCAGATGCATTGTAGAATGAACGTGTTTTTCATCTTCATTACATTAAATAGGCTGGATGAAACTTTTGATGTGGGTAAAACATAAATTCCCATCCTGGATCATTATTTCTTGTGCTAGACTAATTGCATGGTGTTACATCTAGATGAGTTTTCCTGATTAGTGGACAGAAATGTTATAATCTTTCATTCCGGTAAAAAACAGGATAACGACCTGCCATTTTGGGACTTACATCAGGTCAAAGGAACTCTGGGGAAAAACAATGTGTTTAGTTTATGGGGTACAAAACCCACTATTAAAAGGAACAGAGCTATAATGAAAGTTTCCTTTGTAGGAATTATTCCAGACAAAGCATGTACCATAGTGTTTGTTTCATTCTGAAAGTGAATGATAATCAAAACTTTTTTTTTTAATTATATAGGTGGTGAAAAGGTAGCCAATGACCCCCTAAGAAACAACAGAACTCTTTGAAGCTGAAGGAAGTCTTGCAGTCACAACAAAATGTCCTGAAAGAATTTTACAGTATTGCAGCTAATTAATTCCACTGAAACAGTTTTGGAATGCCTACATTTGACACCCACTGGCAGACAAACATAATCATAATAATACAAAAGACCACATTCTCAAACACTTTGAAGAAGGAATACGAAGCATGCCATCCATCACAAGAAATTCAGGTAATATAAGCAAAAAACAAAAAAATCCCCTATAAAATGGCTTATTACTTGGGCTGCCATTAGTTAACAGATTTAAGTGACTGAAGACAGCAAAACTTGGACACATTAGTGAGCAAGCCATGTTAAATGCAATGGGATTTAAGTGTGAATAAGTTTTTGTAGGATTAGGCTAGAAGTAAATCCCTCAAATAAATATGCTATTGCCATGTCTCACTAGATTATTTTTTCTGTTACATTTTGCAATTGTAAAAGCTGCACTTTGCAATTATTATTACACTGGTGAAATACGGGTCTTGTATCTTTAGAGCTCCTCCCTGAGGAGGAATATTTAATCAATGTCTTGGAATCATAGGGTTGGAAGGGACCTTGGAGGTCTTCTAATTCACGCCCCTGCCCTGTGCAGGAATCCTCATACCATTCTGGACAAATGGCTGTCCAATCTTTTCTTGAAAACCTCCAGGGATGGAGCACCCATGACTTCAGGAGACAGGCTATTCCACTGCTTAATAGCTCCCATATTCAGGACGTTTGGATCCTTATTTAAAGTTTGGATTTTTCACTATAAAGAACCCATTGGATTTTTGGATTTTTACAGTTTAGATCTTTCACAGTAAAGAACCCATTGGTTCTTGTCTTACCTTCAGGTGCTCTGGAGAATAAATCCACAACTTCTTCCCATACAGAAGAAGACTGCTATCATGTCTTCCCTTAGCCTTCTCTTCTTTAGGCTAAACATACAAAGTTCCTTTAGCCGTTCTTTGTATGATTTAGCCTCGAAGCCCCTTACCATCTTTGCTGCTCTTTTCTGCACTCTTTCCAGTTCCTCAGTGTCCTTTTTGTATTGTAGTGACTAGAACTGGAGGCAGTATTCCAGATGTGGTGACCAGTGCAACTCGGTGCGGCACTATCACTTCCTATCATCTTGCCACTACCTCTGTTGATGCAGTCAAAAACTGTTTTGGCAGCTATGGCACATTGTTGGCTCATGCTTAATCTGTTGTTTACCAAGACACCCAGATTCTTCTCTCAAGTACTACTGTTAAGCCAGGTAGCATCTATCTTGTACCTGTGCGTCTGGTTTTTCCTGCCTAAGTGCAGAACCTAACATTTCTCATCATCGAACAGCATCTTGTTGGATAGGGCCCAGTGTTCAAGTCTATCAAGATCCTTTTGAATCTTGAGCCTATCTTCTGGGGTATTAGCAATTCCCCCCAGCTTTGTGTCATCAGCAGATTTTATGAATATCCCTTCTATTCTGTCATCTAGGTCATTTATGAAGATGTTGAAGATTACTGGGGCAGGAACTGAACCCTGTGGTACAGCACTGCATACTTCTCTCCATGTGAAAATAGACCCATTAAGGACCGCATGTTGGCTACAGTTGTTAGTGGAACCATCCATCCCACATTGTTCCAGTTTATTGAGAAGGAGGCTGTACTCTAATTTATCAAATGCCTTACTGTAGTATACATACTGTACTAAGTATACTACATCCACAGCATTCCTTTGGTCCACTAATCTAGTCACATTTTCAAAGAATGCAATAAGATTTGTTTGTTACAACTGTTTTTAACAAATCCATGCTGGTTTCTGGTAATCACCCTGTGCACTTCTAAGTGCTTGCAAACACACTGCTTGGATGTTTTTTCTAGGATTTTCTCAGGTAGTGATGTCAAGCTGATTGGTCTGTAGTTATCTTTAAAATATTGGAACAACTTTGGCTCTTCTCCAGCCTTCTGGCATTTCTCCTGTTCCCCAGGATTTCTCAAAGATTTCAGTCAGGGGCTCTGCGATGGCATCTGCCAGTTCCACCTGGTCCAGAGACTTGAATTCATTCAGAGCAACTAGGTTG